AGCAGCGCAGCCCCGCGCGGGACACGGGCGCAGCTCCCCGCAGCCCGGCGCCCCCCAGCCCAGCCCACCGGCGCGGGACGCGAGGATGCGGCCGAGCGCGTAGGGGCTGTGCCATGCCCGGCGCACCCCGCCTCTGCCCCGGCAATGGTAAGGGGGCGCGCGGGGCTTTGCATCCCTGAGCCAGCGCTGCCCCGGGCAGCTGGCCGGGGCTGCCACGCGGGAGGGAGCCGGCGGCCGGGGACGGGACGCGGGCTCCAGGAAAGCGGGGCAGGCTTTAAGCCCAGAGCCTGGCAGGGAGGATGTAGCTGGGGCTGGTCCTGCTCGGAGCAAAGGTTGGTTTGGGAGAGGTCCCTTCCCGCCCGCCTTGTCTGGGAGTCTCAACTGGGCCACCCCGAGATCCTCTCCAGCAGGGTTAGGTGGGCAAACAGGACTCGGTAGCTGAAACTTGGAGGTTGGCGGCGTGTTAAAAACCTCCCGGGCTGAGCTTTTTGCAGCTGACTTGTGCTGGTCTGTTGTCTGGAGTGGAAGATGAGGGAGAAGGAAGAGCTGGCGTTTTAAGCGGGGGTCTTAAGAAAAGGTTGAGTAGCCCCACTTGCAGCGGAGAGGTTCAGAGAGCCCTTGTCCATCTCCATGCCTGCCTGCACGTGTCCTGCAGCTAGAACTAGCCTCTCGCCGCACAGTAGATGCCGCCCAGTTAAGGTTACTTGAGCGAAATCATTATCTAGTGACTACAGTTGTAAATTGCTAAGTGTTTGGGAGTAATTATTATTTCCGTGCCATTTCTAATTCCAGTCATGGTGACCTGGGTATTAATTTGTTTTCACTGTGTAAACCCACTGAAGTCTGCACTTGCACCAAGGAGGAGTTTCTCTACTTGCGTCTGAAGGAATTGGTCTAGATTTTTAGAACTGGACATCTAAACATGCATGCCCATCATTTGCTTGTAAACTCACTATCCTAGTAATTGTGCCTGCAAATACATACAAATCTATGAGGGTTACACACTCAGTTCTTGCAATTCCATGTGCAAATTTTGTGTCTGTAATAATGGACAGAAACCCCTAAACATTTAGGCTGTTGTTTATGGCATTCATTTGACATGCATTTGATCATGAGAAAGGTATCTATCTGGTTTGTACTGATGTTTATCACTATAGTCCTGGTGCCTTGGAGGTTAATGAATTCTTATAACAACATGCCATGGCACATTTAACTTGATGCTACTGAGTTTGTTAATGGCAATGGTATTTTTTGGTCTGCTGGAATTATCAATAACGGTCAGTAAACTATGTGAAGGTGAAAGGTATCTTCTCTTCCCATATGCCAAGCGGCAGTAAGGAGATAGAGAAATGGGGACGTCGTATTCAGAAGTTTGTGCTGGGAAAGGGGGGGAATTTCAGTGCCTGTTGGAATTGGTATCTTACTTAAGGTGCTGTCACTTGCTAGAGGGATACACGTTTCCTGGTAAGTACCAGTGCTATTACAGATAAAGCAGCTTTCTGCTTTGCAGCTGCATACGTGTGTGTGCAGAGTGAAAAGATTTTCATGGGGCTTGGATACGACAGGGAAAACCAGGGTCCACTCTAACCTCCTGTGACTGAGGATAGATAGTGCTTAGCAACATCGTCCTAGTTAGACTCCATCTCACCAAAGGCCTTCTTCAAACCCCACTGAAGTAGGAGGGAGTCTTTCCATTCACTTCAATGGGCATTGGATCACGCCCTGAAAAAAATGTTTGGTTTGAATGTGAATTTTAATTTACGAATTTGTGTGCAAGGGAGAGGGAGCAACAGTCCCTCTGCTTTGGGCACTTTCACTGTGAGCGAGAGAGAGTGACTGGGGCTTATGAAGCACCTTTTTAAAGGCAGCTTGTGAAACTTTGAACTGGCAGTTTTTCCCAACCAGTTATTTCCCACTCCAAAACAAACTTCCCCCATGGAAACTTCATAAAAGTCTTGAGTAATTAAAACTACACAGCTGCAATTTGTTCTGCTTCAGTGCAGTGGGCAGATAAGCCCTGGTTTATCAAGTCTGAGCACCCAAATAGGGCTCCCAGCTGACTTGAGCTAGTGCTTTGGAATCCATTATGTCATGACGACTGCATTTTTTTCTAATTTATGTGAAAGAGACTCAAAGTTAAAAAAAAAATGTGTATGGATATTATCTTGTATGTTACAAAGGGAAAGATTTGCTCTTTCTGTCCATCTGTCAATCCACCCATCTATCCATCCCTTTACTAGCTGACAGCTGTTACTCAGGATAGTGAGAGGGCTGTGTAACATTTTTGAAAGACATACTAGGTTTTGTTGTTCCTACAAATGATGAATATGTTCCCAAAGCTACTCCAAGGAACTAGCAGTCAGGTCTGAGATTCTAATCAAGATAGCTCTGCATTCTCTAGGGGAATACCAAGGAATTGAGGGGTACATGATATACAGTATTTAAAGGCCATACTGGGCTATCCCTGGCTGCTGACACCCCCCATCCCCCCAAGTAAACTGAAAGGACTGGGTTCGGAGGAGCATTCCCTCCAGAAGGGGGAACTCATGCCATTCTCTGTGGTTAGTGTTATCTCCTTCCTTCTCCCCCAGGAGAGGTTTATGACTTTATTTTTCTTTTCTTAACCTGTGCCCAGCATTATTAGCACTACAGAATAATTCATTATGAAAAAAGCAAGTACAATAAACCTGTTTCTTGGCATGCTTTAACTAAGATTTGATTATTTTGTAATTTCTTGAAAAGTTCTCTAGGGATGCAGCTGATATAGTTCCCAATTTTCTCATAAATTCGTATGCAATACTTAGAAGATACCTCTGCTCTTCATGAAGCTATAAAATATGCCATCTGTGTTCATCCTTGTGGCTCTCCCTCTCCCCACTTGCCTTGTCCCTCCTTAAAGTCTAATGCTGCTGCCCTTGTTCTTGTGGCCCTGCATGCCATGAGTTGGCCCCTTTGTAACCATCAAAACTCCCGGTGTCCATTCCTGAAAGGCAGTTGCATAGCCACTGAGCCTTCTAAAAATCCATTAACTAGTTAAAACTAAGCAAAACAATTTCAAGTTTTGTCAAAGTAGAAATCTGTCAAAACCATAAAAGGAAGATATTAAAAAAGAGAGAAAGTATAATAAAAAAGTATGCCAGTCTGGGGGTGTTTATGAATACAGGGTTTTAAAAAATATACCCAATAATGAAAATTCAACTATGCAAATAATCTATAAACAGCCAGAGCAGTAACTGAAAGTAATAAAAGGCATAAAACATTTTAAAAACAAAGAGTTGTTGGACTACTAAACTGTGCCCCTGAACATCTCAGTGAGACCCTGGATTGTGTCATCAACAGGATGAGGAGCAAGACTCACTTGCAAAGTAACTAGTACATTTCTAGTAGGCCTGTGCGATGTGGCTAGTATTTGCTTTGGATTTGGATTCGGCCAGTTTTGGGGACAGTGATTCGATTCAGTGATTCGAATCACTGTCCCAAATTGATTTGGCCGAATTGGCCCCATCCCCTGCCTGTTCTCCTGGCCCCGGGAATAGCTGCCCTGCGTGTCCCAACTCCCAGGTGTTTGAAAAAAAAAAAAGCCCCCATTCACTGGCTGCTGCCTGGTGGGGGGTGATCCTTGCTGCCCCCCGCTGCCCTGCACTGCGTGGGGGGCTCTGCACGAGCCCCCAGAAGCCCTGAGGCTGCTTCAGGAGCTGGTGAGTGCAGGTGGGGTTGTTGTTTTTTTTCTTAAAGGGCTGGGCTGAATCTCCTCGAAATCAAATCAGCACCCGAAGCTTCGCACAGCCCTGATTTCTAGGTATAAAGGTATGTACTGTCTGTTAAATAAACCTACATTAGTGAAGTAAAATCTCTTGTCTTGAGCATTCTCTCTCTCAACAACTCACTGGTTTCCCAATCCAAAGTTTTAAAATAAAACCTTTGAAGTCTACAGGACAGTAGGCAGAGCAGGGGTATTCATCAGGTGAGTAAGGGTGGTAGAAGCAGTCTTTGTAAACCTTTTGGGTAAGAACCATTTTACAGTGTACAATGCCCAGTAAAAGAAGTTGCCCAATGAACTGAAAATCAACACCTTTGAAACTGGTAAGGAAAATGCTTCTTTCTGTGACACACAATACATTGCCGAACTCCCTGTCAAACAGTAGAATTTGACTTAACTATTCCAATTTGGACTGGCTTCTTTGGAGCCATGCTGATTTAAGCTAACTCAGTATCTAGCCTAAAGAGTTTAGTGGGTGTTTATATGAATTATAATTATTCCTGCAATAAAACTAGGATAGCAGTCTGCTCAGCCTATAAAACGTCATATGTTAGAGCATAACTCAGTGTCCAGACTCTCAAGGGTTAGGAAGAAGCTTCCCTTGTGGAAAGACTATTCAGTAATTTTGCACTGTTTCTTGTACCTTTATATGTACTGGCCATTTTCAGAGACAGCATAGTAAATTACAAGGACCATGCTATGGTTTGGTGAAGTAATTCCTATGTTGTGGTCAGGTCTTCAGGTAATATTTCAAGTTAAAAGACTTCAAATCTAAGCAACCGATACTCCAATGAAAACGTGAGATACCTCTTTATAAACCTTGTTATTTGATCAATCAGATTGATTTGGTCGCTGTGACTGAAACAAGCTACTTACTACAGAAAGGTAGACCGTATGTACAAGTTTTACAAGAAACAGAAATACTTAGAGCATTTTACAGACTGATAACTGAACTGTTTTAAGGATGGATACATCAAATGGGATGATCTGATTCTTGTAACTTGCACGTAATGTAACAATATGGTAATCATAACCTGAACTTGCCACATCTCTACTGTTGTCTCTCTTATTTCTGTTATGACTTAGAAAAGAGTGTAATTTGTGTGGCAACAATTTATTCATAATGAATTAAAATAGTATAACTATTAGTTAGATTAGCAGTTCTCAACCTTATGCACCTTACATCCTACCAGCTGTTTTGTCAAAAAACCCTGGTCCCACCATGATAAAAATAAAACCCCACAAAATTGCAGTGTTCGAGATATCTGTTGATTCGTCTTTTTTAAGTGCAAACAACTGATTTTTTTCAATCGGGCAATGAGTTGAAGTCCCACCTTCATGACCTTTGTGTCCCACTAGTGGGACGCATCCCACTGGTGGAAAAACA